AGAATCGATTGAATTTGTCAACTCGAAACATCTGTGGAGCCGTCACCACATTCGGCTTTCTGTAAAGGGTCGAGTGTATGCTGCAGTAGTTCGGCCAGTGCTGTTCTACGGTGCAGAGACTTGATCACTAAGGAAACGATAAAAATAGATAATCTGCGTTCGAATACCGACTTCTACACATCATTGCACCAATAGGGTGGGGCTATCTTTAGGCGCAGAGTTTTAAATAAATGCGGTCGTCTGCTGGAGAAAGTAGTCAACCTCTGTAGACTATGCAAGTTGGGACAGGTATTGCGCACGTCACCAAATGGGTTACCACGGAGTGCGGTGTTTTCCGAGGCAGGCCGTGGGTGGAAGCAAGCCAAGGGTGGTCAAACTAAGATCTGGCAAGAGGGTAGTAAAACCCTAAACAGGAGACTCGGACATGTAGATCTTGTTAGACCTCCTGGATGGGGACCCCGAGATCATGGTAATCGGAGACACTGAGTGATATGGCTGGGTATCGCGAACAGTGGTGCTTGTGCATCTACTTAGTATTTTTGTAACCCCAGGTTATAAGAATTTCCCTTCTTCGCTTTGATTCTGCTCTCAACGTTCAAATCTTCATTCTGCTCCTTTATCCAAAAGACAACTAAAATCGGCGCACGAAATGCATAGTTAGTGACTGTAAAAACTGAACTAAAACTGACATTACAGATCACAGAACCCAAATCGTGGAACATTAGGTCAAGGGAGCATATAATAAAATACACTTCACCAAACAAAAATCAACAATTAAAAATAGGGGGGGGTCAAACGAGTAACATACCATTTCGTGTTAGTCATTTTTAACTGATGCAAAATATCCTCACGTACACGCGGGGTGGCAGTGGCCGTCATCGCCATCATTGGGACTTTCGGATAGTTTGTGCGTAGAATGCTCAGATTGCGATAATCCGGACGAAAATCATGACCCCACTGAGTGAGAGAATGAAGAAACAAGCACAATGACGGTCAGATTTGGACATGGTGAATAACACCTGAATGACCGGATCGAAAACCATTATATCCCCGCAGACGTCAGTTGAAAATTTATGCAGGAAAAACTATATGCAACATTGGTTTGCAAAGCAACAGATGCCAAAAGAACAGCAACAATAATAATAGATCAGGGTCGAATTGGAGTACAGAAGATGNNNNTGTGGAAAACAAAAAAAACAGAGGTCCAAAGAGTAAGAAAAGCAATGTTTTGTCTGTGCTTCACTGTATCCTTCTTTGATAATTTGCCTGGTGAGTCAATTTTATGGGGTTTAGGCTTTTAACAGACGGATAGTAGAGCATTCGCACCATTGACTANGGGACCCGTATCTATTAATATCTATCAACAGCGCGACAATATTCCTCCGTTGGGCCCCAAAATGAAAGGCAGGCTGCACTAACTGAAGCAAATGGTGACGTCCTGACACAAAGTCAAGGTTTATCTGCCTTGAGGTTTCTTCTAACCTACTGTGGTGGTGCACAAGAACACAGTCCGAATTCCGTTTAATCAGCCATCGGTGAAAAATAGGAGCACAGAGAGACAGAGAAAACTGATTAGTGAAATAACAAACTGGCATATATGGAAGCGGTGGAAAACAATCTGTGCTAGTCTTTCAGTGACTACACGCCTCTCCACTACTGTTGATTAGGTAATCGTTGCACCTCAAACAAACATACGCAAACAAATATTATCAATTCAAGCTGATAACGAAGAGAATAGTCGGCTACAGTGAAACCTGACGGATTTGGTTAATAGCTTAAGCAAAGGCTACGGACAGAAATGGTGAATGCTGCTGGGTACACTACATGAAGATCAAAAAGATAATCCTGGATTTCACCGATAATGCAGGATAGCGATAACACTGACATACGCGCAAGCCTGGGTCCCGCCTCTCTCGCGCTTCCTTGGATCGATAATCCTGATGAACTGCGTTCTGAGGCAGTTGAGAGAATTTTAATATATATATAGATAGATAGATAGATAGATAGATAGATAGATGAGTTTCACGCGAGGGCTTCCAAATTCCAACCCCGGATGGGCCGGAGGATGTACACTAATGATGATCTCTTGAAATGGTGTACGGTTGGTTGCACGCATTGACAGTAGTAAATGACGATAAAGATTAGTGAAAATTGATTAACCTGAATGAGTTTAGTGAATATTGCTAGGGAGCCGGTATCCTACCTGAAAACTGCTTTGATCCATGACAGGGAATCTTATCAATGACATTCTAACGCAAATGGCTAATTAGAATCCAAAGGCAATCAATATGGATGATTACGATTCGGTGTACCGATCACTGCGTGTATGCATTTTCCTTACCTTCCAACACTTATATAAATAAGCGTGTTTCTGATACAAAGAAATGAATTCCTACAGGCCTCTGGCCTTATTTGATTTCATTACCTATGGAATCGTTATATGGAGGAGAGACGGTATCGGAGAATGCTTAGTCCGAAATCTGGTACTGGGACGATTTGTGCGATCATGAAAAATAGATAATGCCAACAGAGAGAGGGAGAAAGATATTCTTTAAACTGAGCCGCTGAGATGCAGTGGCCAGAATCGGGACGTCGTACGACAGAGCTCCCAGTTATTTGTGATGAGTGAACGGAGAAGAAAATCCTTTGGATATTGACTAACAGGCCGCCATAGTGAAAACCCGAAACACTGATAGACCCTCCGGTATGAGGTGGACACATTTCCCACTTGTTAAATGATGTCTAAAAATCAATCCACACTGCACGTAGGATATGTGCACTTGGACAGAACTAAGCCCGGCTGCAGACCAAAACAGTCTTCACGGACGGGGAAGACGAGTGCGCAGCATTGAATTAATCGATAGTCTACACGCAATTTTGCATAGCTAATGCCCTCTCTGCGAGCACGCACGCCAACATATCGATGTGTATGCATAAGGAAAGTGGCATTGAGGGACCGCTGGAATTCGTATCACCATCATAAGAGCACAGGTGATGGAGACGAAAGTTTTAAAATAGTTCCAAAAATAGGTAATCATTGTAAAATTCAAAAAGCGCCAGGTGGAAAGTGTTAGGACGGAGCCTAAGAAACCCGTCCGATCGCGCACGCCTCCGAGTCAG